TCAGGGAGTTTACGTTTGTAGGCAAACAATTAAGCTACAACTGTTATATGGGGCCACTGTATGGTAAAATGGAGTATTCCTCTTATAGATAAAACACAAATATTTCTTTTTCAGAAAGCTGTATCACAATTGGAGGCAAAGCTTGTCTTTGAGTATTCCACATAAAAGTAAAATATTTAGAGCTTTTTTACCGACGATTGATTATGAAACTTTATTTTAGCTTTATACAGGCTAAACACATACTTGACCTGGTTTTGGGCTAAATTCAAATGGTAGGTAAACTCTGCCTTATCTAGATTTAAAATTTAAATATATAAATTAAAGTACATTGCTACATTGCTTTTAGTTAAATAGGATGATAGTTCATATTAATGTGCAGCCATTTATTACTATAATTTTATGTTTTTATTGCAACTTGTAAGCTAAAGGCTTCATTTCCAACTCAAATCAATGTAATGATATAATAATTTATGATTAAATTTACCTAATGTTACACTGCAGTTTCCATCGCAAGCAAATAATACAACTGATTATTTCAATTTCAACTGGTTCTCATTATCTCTTCTTACACCATACACGTACTGCATTGAACAACCTCCGAACAACCTCCAAACATTAACAACTACATAACAACAATAATGTTCAGGTGTTCGGTGTGCCGGTCGGCAATTTAAATTTAAATTTGTATTTGTATTTTCCTATCTCATATTTTTATCTTGTATTTGTATACAGACAGTTTGTAAAATGGTTGTTGATGACGAAATTATACCAGTAGTACATTGTACTGAAATTCCTAGCTCTGAACTTTTCAACTTTGATAATTTGAATGAAAACAGTTTAAATTCACTTTCTAGCTTTAAGATCCTACACCAAAATATTAGAAGTTACAAGAAAAACTTCGATGAATTGTTGGTAGTTTTACAAGGTATTAAGTGCAAATTCAATTGTATCGTGTTAACTGAGGCATGGCTGAACCATGACAGCGATCTTATGACCATAGACGGCTATAAGACTTTTAGAAGTTACAACAACCTAAATCAAAGCGACGGACTAGTTATCTACATTGATAATTCGTTATCAGTGTCTTGCAGCCAGCTATTGCTCGGTGGCGTGGCTACGACCCTGTCCTTGACCTTCAACTGTGGCGGTACAATGTGTAACCTGCTTTGTGTTTACCGTAGCCCCAATTCATCGTTACAAATATTTAATGACAATTTGAAAGAATATTTAGAAAATTACGCAAATAAATCAGACATCAGTATTTTAGTAGGCGATTTTAACTGCGATATCATTCAACCTATTCTTAATTCACAAGAAGAGCGATATCTAGATATATTATATGACTTAGGTTTTGTAGCTTGCATTGACAAAATAACACGTCCTGTTAGTCATATTGATCATTTCTTCATACGGTTGCCGCCTTCCATCACGGCTAACTCCGCAGTTTTACAAACAGAAATTACAGATCATTTTAGCATCTCATTAGAAGTATGTAAAAAAACGTCCTGTAAAATGTCCACTAAAAACCGTATATCGAAAATAGTTGAGTGGCATAGCATTAGCAACGATTTAATCTCTTGTAATTGGGACTCAATTTTGAAATCAGAAAGTGTTGACGACGCATCAGAAATGTTAAATAATAAACTTCAGTCAATCTTAAATTCAAATACAGTTATTGAAAATAAACCTGCTAAAGTTTCCAAAATAAAACCTTGGATAACAGTTGGACTCCTAAAATCAATACGCTTCCGAGATAAACTAAGCAAACAAGTTCAAAACCGTCCTTTCAACGTTCAGTTGCGTACGCGATTTTTAAGATATAGGAATATCCTCAAGTCATTAATTAAGCAAGCCAAATACAGTTTTTACAAAAATAAAATCGAAGATGCAGACGGAGACTCCAGAAAATTCTGGTACATCGTAAATGAGGTCGCAGGACGTCCAAGTAGGAAGGAAAAATTCCCAATAGAAGCATTCTGTGCGCACGATGGCACTGCCACCACTGACCAGATAAAAATTGTATGCAATGATTTAAATAATTATTTTGCCTCCGTGGGGTCACAATTAGCAAGCGCGATAAAGTGCGATGGGCCCCCAGAAATCGACGATGCCGCACATGCCACGGACAAAGTATTTTCCCTGAGGCCGGTCACCCGGGCTGAACTTCTCGAAGTTGTGAAGACAATTAAAGGGAATTCGGCTCCTGGGTGGGATGGCATCCCAACAAAACTTGTAAAATCAAACATTGAAATATTAGTTCAGCCTATCTTGCACGTAATAAACTTAAGTATACTGTCCGGCAAATTTCCAAAATGTTTTAAAACTGCCAAAGTCACCCCAATTTACAAATCTGGCCAAAAAAACATTGCATCAAACTTCAGACCAATCTCGTTGCTTGGTGCAATATCTAAAATTCTTGAAAAATGTGTTAAGAAACAATTAGCTTTTTACCTTGAAAACGAAAACATTATCAGTGATTCACAATTTGGTTTCAGAGCATGTAAGAGCACAAGTCATGCATTGTTCGACATTAATAAATTTATATCAAATAAATTAAATTCAAAACAACGTGTAATGGTGACCTTTTTAGATTTAGCAAAAGCCTTTGACTCTATTGACAGACATAAACTTATCAACAAATTGGAATATTGTGGACTAGACAAGCTCTCCCTTGACTGGTTTAGAAGTTATTTAGAAGACCGAGTGCAAGTTGTTACAATCGATGGTGTCACAAGTAATAAAAGAAACATTGAATTCGGTGTGGTCCAGGGAAGCAATCTTGGGCCTTTGCTCTTCCTGGTTTATATAAATAATATATCAAAACTAGAAACAAGAAGCAAATTATTCTTGTTTGCAGATGATACGGCAATGGTGACTACAGGCTGCACGTGGGATGAGGTGTATGAGCGGGCATCGTCCGACTTACTTAAGTTGAAAAATTGGTTGGATCATAATTCTTTAACTTTAAACGTATTAAAAACTAAATGTCTTCCAATTTTTTTAAAGAAGGAAAGTGATCCGAGCCCGCGTCATTTACGTTTGCACTCCTGTGGTGATCCGTCGTCACGTGACTGTGATTGTAACGTCATCGAACGTGTGTCACAATAAAAATATTTGGGCATAATTATGGACGAAAAATTAAGCTGGGTTCCTCACGTGTGGTATGTCAAGCAGAGGCTTAGAAAATTAGTATATGCATTCGATCAGCTGGGCCAGGTGCTGACGGTGGATCACTGCAGGATGGTGTATTACGCCTATGTGCAGTCGGTGTTACAATACGGTGTCCTGGCATGGGGTGGCGTCTCGTCAGCTGTGTTAGAGCCCTTATTCATCTCACAAAAATCATTGATTAAAAAAATTCTTAAAAAACCTTTCCGTTATTCAACAGACCAGCTTTTCCTTGACTTTCCAGTACTAAACGTCAGACAGCTTTTCATAAGAACATTATTATTATTCATTAAATCCAATAAAGAACAAATATTTTCTGAGATTCACCATAGGTACCCTACAAGAAATCGTTTAAACTTTGGCTTCAGTTGCCCAAAATCTATTCTTACGACCACTAACAAAAATTCATTTTATATTGCTCACGTCCTGTACCGTAATCTTCCAACACACATTATTGAGGCTGAGAGTTGCAGTGTTGCTGTTTATAAGCGGATGATCGGCGAGTGGCTCGCGCACATCGGGCGGGCTGCTGCAGAGGCTTTGATCCAGTCGGTCTATATTCCAAACGTCTGATATTGTCATGATTCAGTCATCGATCACATTTTTTATATTTATATATATATTTTTTATATTTTACTTGTAAAACATTGTAATCCATATTGTTTCTGTATGGGATTCAGCCCATTGTGTTGGAATAAATACAATGGGCTGAATCTTGTACAGGGTAGTGCGACGTTGTGTTTAATGTTAAAAAGTAATTCACCTCATTTTAGAATTAAAATTTTGTTAGCATTTAAAATACAGTTATTTAGTTTAGAGCTTAGATTTATTTAGTTTATGTGTTTAAAATAAAAAAGTGCAGTGACTCGAACAATTTTACAATACCCATAGACTGATGATATTGTTAACTCTTCCCCCAATCACGGATCAATAGTCTATTCGGGGGAATAATTCCTTTTACTTACTACAATGTATTGTAATATTGTTTTATTTTATGGAATAAATAATTTTGACTTTGACTTTGACTTTGACTTTTAAATAGCTTGTTACCGGTCAACACCGGGTCACTGGATCGACCAAGTCACTCACTGTAGCGGTTCTTTACTTCACTGTCTTTAGATTAACGCACAACCCATTAGTAGGCCTATATACTCTAGCAGTTAATATTTTTTAAATGAAATAAAACATATATTTGAAAATAAATACACAAATTAGTTTTTCACTGAACTTTACTAAAGAAACACAATTATTATGCATGTGCAACCATTTTATGCAGTGGATTTAAAGTCTTCCGTTGCTATGCTCGGATATAACAAAGATTTCATCGTATGTTAAAACCATGCTATTTTGGCTCAATTCAACTCGTGTCCCGTAATGAAAGTAGCGTGGGCTGCAATGATTTAGAAAAGGCTAATTTCGTAAAATTGTTTAGACTTTTACATGTTTGTCCCCCAGTAAAATATACACAATGATTATAGCAAAGTTATTCTTTGCGAAACATGCCTTAGAGGACTGTGATGGGGCAAAGCAGCATTGTCTAACGAGTTCTCTGTCAATTGGGTAATTGACACAAGAGAAAACAACACAAGATTGATTTTCTTAACTGTTAATCTGTTGTAGTTACACATTAATAAAGATTCTATGTTTGGAGTAAGATTTTTTCCTTAAAACCGATGCGACAACTATACTACTTTTTATACTAGAGGACAGGAACTACAAATGCTTTTATATGTGATTTCTAAAAGTTATAAGCATTTTAATGGCGGGAAGTTTAAAATACGAGAGAAAATGTGTGCATTAGATGTAGGAATGTAGATTTATAATTTACTCACCAAAAACTTTCAATGACAAGGTGTTGTGTCGTCCCTGGATTTAAAACTCTGCCGATGACCATCAGGACGCAAATGTCTGGAACACGGAATGGTTCGTATTGTAAAACTCAAAACAACCCAATTGTACAACAATCACGATAAATATTTTACCTACGACCGTTTTTTAAAGTAGCCATTTCAGTCCAGTTCTTAGAATTGAAAAGTTTCACTTTACAGCTGTTTACTTTCATATCCGCATAGTTTCATTTCATATCCGCATAGTTTTCTCATATCCACACAGGTAACGGACCAATGAGGTTCAAGTATTGAGAGAAAAGAATTAAAATTGTAATGCTTCGAACGTCAACTAATCAGCTGATCAGCTGATCAGTTGACCAATTTAATTGTTGATCCGACTTGTTCATGTTGATACTCGCGTATTCTTAATTAAGTTGGTGGAAGTCCAAAAATAAATGAAATATTTGCCGAATTGTACCTGATACAATATTATTTATGGTAAGAATGCTGCTAGCAATGTAATATTTGACGAAGTTTAACAAACACGTAATTACAGGAAATCAGCTGATTATACAACAAGTCGTTGCATCACTTTCAGTGGCAATGACAATACACGAAAACATAACCTCTTTAAAAAGTTATCATTAGTGATTGTTAGTAATTAAATCCAGATTGATAGTAATTAAAAAACGGTCGTAGGTAAAGTAGTGTACGCAACTCGCGTTAATAGTCTTTACGACACTCGTAGAAGTTTTTAAGGCACTCGCCAAGGCTCGTGCCTTAAATTTTCTACTCGTGTCGTAAAGACTCACTTAACGCAATCGTTGCGTAAACTACTATTACCTATGATCGTTTTTATAGCCTTTTCAATTTAGTTATTAGAATTGAAAAGACCTACTTTACAGTATGGTTTACTTACTTTATAGTATTCTTTTGTTACTTTTCAGTACAAGTTTTGACCAATGAAGTTTAAGAATTGAGAGAAAAGCAGTTTTAGTATAATTGTAATATATTTCGAACAACAACTTATCAGCTGTTGAATTTGACTGAAATAAGTCGTTGCATTACAATCAGTGACAATCGGTCCCCAGGTACTAAGAATAAAAATAAGAAAGTTTATTGCCATTTACCAAGTTGTACATAGGAATAGGCATTGTCAAATTACATTGAATAAAATATTACTAAATATATTCATATCTATAGGTAACAAGAATTGAGAATTCTTAATTTACAGTATGAAAGATTCTGCTTTAATTTTATGTTTCATGAAGTCCTTAACTGAGTAGAATGGGTTTGCTACAAGCCAGTTATAAATTTTTGACTTAAAAAGAGGAAGAGAAAGGCTGTCTGCCTGAAGAGGCTCAGGCAGCTTATTAAAAAAAATCACACAGCTAAGTTTGGAAGTATTACCTGTGAATAAGGGCCTAAGGGTCATAAACGAAAAGAATCCTCTCTTAGTATTTATGAATGGTGATTATTAGTAATTAAAAAAGCTAGTAAGTAAAGTAGAGTACGCAACTCGCGTAATTAGCCTTTACGACACTCGTAGAAGTTTTAAAGCCACTTGCCCAAACTCGTACTTTAAACTTTCTACTCTTGTCAAAAAAAACTAACCCTACGCGATCGTTTTGTAAACTACAATATTAATATCAGCCGCAATAAAAGTCCTTTGCGGTACTTTAAGAGAAATTAATAAATAATTTTTGTTACAATTGTATTTCAAAATCTATAAACCACTTGTAATTGAAGATTGAAACTGAATACAGTTGAATACTCAATACACATCGGACCTACATTCAATGAAATTCTTTTTCAGTGGCAATCCGTTGAATGTTTTATTAATCAAAAATATAACCAACCGTATCAAACTATTGCCAGTTTTGTTATGCCTTGATTTGCATGGTGATAATTAAATATGAATATTTAATATGGTATTGAGTTTTATAATTAAGTTAAAGTAATAGCTGAATATCAACACTTTTTTTAAGATATACATTACTAAGATACATTTTTAACATGATTCAATGCTGAGAGTTAATAGAATGATTAACCACTGTATAACCACAGCATAGAATGGCACCATATTTGCTATCTTGCATTTGATGAAACAATTTAGATCTGAATACTAATGCAAGGATGTAGAAGGATTTGCATGTTGATACATTTACACCGCAGTTATGTCCAGAGCCGCATACAAAGTCAGGGAGATGACTTATGCAATATGCATATTAATTTATTAATATCCTTCTTCCATTGTTATATAAAAATCTAGATCTCCTTTAGAAAAAACTCTTTATTCAATAGTAGTCTGGACAAATTCGTGTCAATTGGCTTCTTGGATCCAATCTTTAATTAACAGTTTAAGAATTTTAAAACAGAAACATGCCACTAAAATTTAACTAGACACCTAACAGATGTTGTTTGTCTAGATCGATAACAAACCCAACTTTATAGTTCCCATCTCAATAGTTATTATAAAATAAATAATATCGGTTGTGTGAAAATGTATTTTATATTGAATAATCATTAATAAAGTTGAGTATTTACCAATGAATGTGCATGTTTTTGTTAAATTACTATGCAAAATTTTGGTTAAATATGGGTTATTTAAATATTTGGTTCATTTTTTAGTTATCAAAAGGTGTTTATTAGAAGTACGGAACTGTGAATAAATTGAAATAAATAAATGTGACTGTTCTAAATTATGTTTGTGGTTTTCGTTGTGGCGGTTATTTCAACGGTGTATGGGGAGGCCACCAGTTATAACTTGGGCTTATAAACGAAGCCTACATTTAAAAATGGAAACTTAACTCAAAATGAGTGTTAAAAATCAAGTACAAGCAAACCAGTGCGATAATCTTACACTGACGAGTTTACATGTAGTGATAATCTAGACGTTATTCATAGGAAATTACTTAACACTGTGAGACACGTTGGCCTGGTGATGTTTAATTAATTCTATGGGATAAGCACGAGGGGTTTACCTAGGGGGTTGTTGAAGCTATCCAATTAACTAGTTCACTTAACCTTCGTCACGTAACCAAGGTTAAAACAACGACTCATGATACAAGAGACACTATACAGCCCATATCACATGTTTATCAGCATAATACTTGGGTGGTTATTTGTATATGAGCAATTTAGTATTACATTTATTAGACATCACATGAGAAATCCCGCTTCGTTTATTTTATCTTAAATTATCTTATTTCATAATTTCTCAAACATTCGTACTGTCAAAGGTTGGTACACTATAAATTATTATGACATATTTTCATGCCTTTGCAGAATAGTGTTTAATAATGTTGGCGAACTAGCAAAAAGTTATATGTAATTTTACAGTAAAATTAACATAAATAGAGAGGAAGATTTAAATTGGTATAACACTTTACATACCCGGGAAGATATATTATGAAAACGCATTTATTTACACCTTATGAAGAAAGGGTTACTAACAATAAACAGTCTACTCAAAGCTAGGCGTGAATGGTTAAACTATTTAGTAAAAGCACAATCGAAATTACAACTGTGATGTCGAGGTTCACGAACTAAGATTTTGCAAAACTTTTAGCAACAAATATATTTGTATGGATTGAAAGTGGAGTATCAACGTAACATTCCACTTACTTCTATTTTATATGTTAATTTCTTCAAAACATACCTTTTGTACTCCACAATGTAGGTTTTTATGCGTCACTCACAGAAAATTAATCTGTAATCTCTGAAGTGTCAAGGGATTATCATCGTCTTATTTATTCAATATAACACAATTAGGCTGTAACTTAAAATTTTAACATAGAACCTTTGAACCTACAACGTTGCGAAAAGGTGCAACTAGATTTGTAAAAAGTAAAATCGTGGATATTCTTTAAAATATAAGTTATTACTTATTACGTGTTATAGTAAAATAATGGTGGCAGTATAATTGTATTTTTAATATGTTTGTTTTTTAGTTTTTTTTCTTTTCATTAATTGAGTATCCATTTTAAATATTGTCACACTGTTAAGATACGTACAAAGGTACGAACGGTAGTCAAAGAAAACATCTAGCATGGACTGCTTTCTTATACAAAAAGAGAAGTATCAAAGTAAGCAGAAAGGTATCAGTACTAATTAAATGTGTGTCATAGTTGTTATCAATATAAAATAAACATTTACTATGCTACTTTAAATCAAGATGTTCTAAAAGAGTATTACTTGCTACTGGCAGCTTCAGATGTGATCTACTTGAGGTAACATTATAAGTATTTTATTGCGACGGTAGATCCGATCTCTGATAACATTTTGTGGCGAAGATGAAAGGTCGACTATTGAATAACAAGGTTCAGCGATACTCAATGAGATAGTGCCGAGGACCCTTGAAAATATCTACCAACCACAACGCTTATTGAGAGCTTAACAACCCAAGTTGTTTTTATCTAATATTACACTCTTTATGTAAAGTTACTATATACCAATTTATAGTTACCAATATTTTTATTGCTGTACTGTATTAAAATTCATGTGACGGCGATTTTCATTGCAAGTTGTATCGTATATTGTAAGGTTAAAAATGCACATCACCTAGTTCTGTCCGAGAATCTTCTAGTGATAAACTAATAATATTACATTAATAATATGCTATGTAGCATATCACTGTTTTACTAATTAGTATTATTTTTATACTGCATTTATACCTGACTGGAATATAAAGGAATCCGAAAAGACTCTCATGAAATGCTAAAACGTTTTTTTAAATACAATATTTTCCGAAAGTCCTAGAAGTATTCGAGCAGGTGGAAGGAGGAAGAGGTATTTGGGAAGATTTATATGTTTTCGCCATTTTCCAGGGACGTGATCAGAAAGATTGGTCGATCGTATTCTGGATGAAAAGGAATATGCTGATTCGCAGTGACGCTGCGCGATTAAGTTCATTTAATGTGTTAAAAATGTTATTCATAACTAATACCTCTAATCGTATGAGAAGATTTTGGATGAACTATACTCGACTATCCTATACTCTAATACGAGCAATGTTTGTATGTATGTATGCTTGCTTGCTTGCTTGCTTGTACCAAGATCTCGAAAACGGCTCCGACG